TATCCATTCCTTTCTGTCACATTTTTTCTACTTTAGTGTTGGCTAGCTGCATTTATCTGATTTCTGACAATTTGCTAAGTGACCTCTTTGTGCAGGTCTGATGGACAATTCCGGAGCTAATTTCCTCATGCGCTTATGGCTTCCTTGTAGATCACGCGACCGGTGTAGATGCAATTCTTCAATCCACACTACCTACACTCCCTCATTCATGAAAAGTCCTACCATCTAGCAATAAAAGAAGGATAAATGCTCTTTGGGATTGGATTTGCTTACGGTTGATATCAGTGTAGTGTGCCAAAATGTTCTTGAGGGGCGGAAAAGACAGCACTTGGGCATGACATGATCCAACACTAAAACCGAGAGCTAACTGACTGACATGTTGCAATATTTTTGTTATGAGGTGCTTTAATTCTAAGTCCCTATCTTATATGGATCCCCGGGGGAGGGAGGTATTGGTACTTGAACCTGTTGCAAAGTTCCTTATTTCGTATCATGGTTGAATCCCTATACATCAAAATACTATCAGAAATTTTGTTTTGTCGGTTGATTTCGTTAACAGAATCAGAGAAGTTGTCGATGAACACAGAACACGCAAATGGTAAGGGGGAAATTCAAAGGTCCTCTCTCATGGGCTCGTAAAGGTTAGCAAACTTTGACGGAAACTTGAATTACAGGTTTCCGTTGGTTGATGTTAAATATAAACATTTTCTTGAAAAGGGAAAAGTGAACATAAGCTTGAATCGTTTAGGTTTTGTATGAATTCATTTTGTTGATCAGGAAATGCCTTCATTTCTCATGTTGGTATTTGATGTTTGTCTTCTGATTTTTACTCCATTGTAGACTTGTTGCCGCATTGGAAGAAAGATGGAAGCAGCAGGAGAACGTGGAGGAGAAACTAAGGCAGATCGATTACTTGCTCTGCGGTCTTCACTGTTGCGGTGATCTGAGCGAAGCGGCTTTGCAGATTTTCCACGTTGATCCCTGCGCTCATGCTATCGTTCTTGTGGGTTGTTGTTACCACAAAATAACCACTCAGACGGATGATATTCGGGAGAACATAGAGAGGGAACAGGCATTCACGGTAAGAAAGTGTTCATAATGTCCCATTAAAGTCATTTGTTGCGCCAATTTGCGAAACTTTACGAAGATCTCTCCCCAGTTCCCTCTCAGTTCCCAGCTGCGTGCCGCATTCCACCGATTTTCAGATGCAGGAACAACGGTAGCAGAAAAGTCGTTAAAAGCGACAGTAGCCCTTCGTCTAGCTTGTCAGTGGTCCCCACAGCAGTGGTCGCAATGGAGTCCACGTGAAGTCTACGAACACCGCATTCGCGTCTTCATTCGGTCCCTCCTTGAGGTACACCTCAATCCCTCCCATGCTCCTGGCACCAACATCACCCTTCTCAAAAGAGTTGCTCGTTATCCAATCAATTGCTCTCTGCCGTCCAGTGCCTGTCTCACCTCGGTGCGTCAACCACTGCCCGAACTCACCACCCATTGGCACACTCTTAAGTCTGTTGCTGCCTCTGTTGCTGGCGAAGAACCTACTGATACTACTGTCATCGATACAGCGGAGCTCACGCGATTAGCTTATACGAAAGCAGATGTGTGGCACCTTCTGCCTGGCCTTACAGCATTGCAGCAACTTGTCCAGCCTCTAATAGAGGCCCTCATTTTGGTTGATCGTTTGTGGAGCTTGGAATCGGCTCCTGATGTGCAATTCGCCACGCTTGTGCGTCTCTTTAACCCCAAATTATCACCCCGATGTATGGGTATTGTGGCTGTGAAGAAAACCAGTGACACTCTACGACCTTTATAACAGCTATCGTGGAATAGAAGGGCCTTGATCGCATGGATTGGAAGAGGAACCTCTTTTATATTTGATTTGCCTTGGAGGATACTAAAAAGGATGTTGATCCTGATGAGATCCCTTCATTAATCGAGTAGTTGGAGTAGAGCTAAGTTTCGCCCACTGTTTCTTAATGAAAGTCCCCTATTCACCTTTTACTACGCTGACACTGAGGTAGAGACAGTTCCCCAAATTTATCAAATTTTAACTCGAGCTCCCTTACAAGACCACATCACTTCTGTTAATGAATTTGTCCGCTCGACTACTGGTATGGCATGAATCACGTCTGGAGATCTTACACAGTCACTTGAGCTGCGATTGTAATCATACGATCCGAGTCTCTGGACTTCGGATCCCTCCTCCTTTCTCTCCTTTTCACGTTTTCCATTGCCAGTCTGCCCTCACGATCATACTTAGAGAAATCAGCTCAATTCGTGAGATAGACGATAGCAAACTGAACACTTAGTTGTTGAGAACTAAGCTTTAGAATTCACTTACCACGTTTTGGTTTAGGCTTGAGAGTATTTCTTCCTCTAGCTCATTTCATATCCCAAGTGGTTCTGCTTGCACAGAAGCACCATGAAATCACACCCTGACTGTTTCACTCCTGTTGTGCATGAGGCATACATTTCTGGAAAAGTTTTTTCTCTGAACCCATGAATACGGTTTGATGTCACCAGGGTAAGCATAAGACCGGGGCACATGTTTACAGGGGTTGAAAACTCCGAGTTATGTGCAACGCATAAAAATGCGTAAATAAAATGTGTATTAAATGGGAAGGATAAAAAATAACGTCGGTTGATTTTGGAACTAAGTACAGAGATCGGTGGGGGCTAAGCAGTTAGGACTCCTTGCGTTCCGCCTTTCTTTCATCCCTGAAAGTTGGGAATAAGAAGTTAGACCGAGATGAGCCTTTGAGATCAAGGCAATAAAATGCTGATTGCCTTACTCCTCCTCCTCCTCTTCACTATCCCCCTCCATCTCGAAGGTCTCTAAAAAGTTGTCTTTAATGTCAACAAACTGAACGCTGGGAGCATGTACCAACTGCTTAAGGTTGTCGTGAATGGTCGACTTCAGAGCGTCCACGTACTGGAAAGGGAAAAAAAAGTAGGCAAAACGTTAAACAGCATTGGATTCAGATGTAGGATTGTGGAGGTAAACTTTTCATCAGTGATAAAGGATGCCTCGCATAGTCAGGAAAAATAGCTAAAACTAATCGAAGACATGAAAAAAAAGTTTTCTCATAAGGCTAAAAGTCAGACTTTTGCACCAAAATATAACGTTTTGGGTATGACGTGGTGCCCGCAATATTGACAGAAAATTTATTATTCGCCATTTTTACGTGGCTTTACAGTTT